AGATTATTTTTCATATTATAACCAAAAAAGGTTATATAATATAGAATAGATATTCCTTGTGTATTGTTAGATTTACAAACTAGTCTTACGATTCAAGTGAAGTCCTAAATTACTTTAATATTGTCTCATAATCAGTATTTCAAATAGACTGATAAAATATTTTACGTATAAGGACAGAAAAATTTATGAACAAGACTACTATGTCAAAAAAAAATATTTACGAATAGATTTACATAATACAATATGTTTATAAACACGGTATTTATTCCCTGTTGCATAATATAGGCACTATTGCTATTATCTTCAAGCAAAATTTATTATCGTTCTATTCTCAGTTTTTGAAAGACTTATTTTAAAAGACAAACGAACGATTTTATGTAAAACAAAAATAAATTTTATCAAATCAAATACATCAGAATATAAATAAAAAGCTTTATTATTAAAATGTTAAAACCTTCAACAAATTTTTGAATAAGATGTAAGAGTTGAAAAAAACATTGAAAGTTATATGAACTGTTCAGAACTCTAATTTTGAACTCACAGAACTTAATTTATCAAAAAAATTAATTTTCTAAAACTTTAAAGTCTTGTAGTTTAGTAGTTTATAGGTTATGAAAAAATAAGTGGCTCACAGAACTCTGCTCAAAACTCTACGAACGCTTAATTTATAAAATAATAAATTTCTGTTTAAACTTTAAAATCTTGTAGTTCATTAGTTTTTGAATTTTGGAAAAAACTGTAACAAGAGTTTTTTATAGAACACTATGAAAGGCTCACATAACTCTGATCAGAACTCATAAAACTTTTAATTCATGATAAACAATTTTTTTAACCCCTTCGCAGTCAAGACCAAAATCTCATATGTGGGCTCAAAATGTCGACAACTTTTTAGAAAACTAAAATTTGTGCAAACGAGCATACTATTGTATTTTAATTTGCTGATTACGAATCCGATATCAGATTTTGAAAATTCAAAATGGCGGATCCAATATGGCGGACATGAAAATTAAAAATCGACTGAATTCACTTGAAACTTGTTATTCAGGGGTTTTCGGGGTCGCAGATTACGAATTCGATATCAGATTTTGAAAATTCAAAATGGTGGTTCCAATATGGCGGACAACATTTTCTAAAATTCATCAGATTCACTTGAAACTTTTTACTCGGGGATTTTCAGGGTCGCTGATTACGAAACCGATTTCAGATTTAATAAATTCAAAATGGCGGATCCAATATAGCGGACGAAATTTTCTAAAATTCATCGGATTCACTTGAAACTTTTTACTCGGGGGTTTTCAGGGTCGCTGATTACGAATCCGATTTCAGATTCTGAAAATTCAAAATAGTGGATCCAATATGGCGATTGAAATTTTCTAAAATTTATAGGATTCACTTTAAACTTGTTACTAGAGGGTTTTCGCTAATTACAAAAAATTTTTAAAATGATAATAAATACAAAAATTTTCCCCGCAGTCAGCTGTTAAGTATACTACGTTACTTACGACCGGACCCCAGAGCTTACCACGTGGAGGTATGCGGTCGGATATTACACTTCTTTATTCATTTTGTTTTTTTAATATTTTTTTTGTTTGGTCTTATATTGGATCCGCCATTCTCAAAACCGACATTACATTTTTAATCTACGACATCAATAAATCCCAAGTAACAACTTTTAAGTAAATCTTATAAATTTTTTAAAATGGCGCCAGCCATATTCAAAACTCCACATTGTATTTTAAAAATCTTATGCTAGATTCGTAATCAGCGACCCCGAAAACAGCCAAGTAACAAGTTTTAAATGAATCGGACGAGTTTGTAAAAATGTCGTCCGCTATATTGGATCCGCCATTTTGAATTTTTAATATCTGGAATCGGATTCGTAATCAGCGACCCTGAAAACAGCCGAGTAACAAGTTTTAAATGAATCGGACGAGTTTGTAAAAATGTCGCCCGCTATATTGGATCTGCTATTTTTCATTTTTTAAATCTAAAATCGGATTCGTAATTAGCGACCCTGAAAACCCCTGAATAACAATTTTCAAGTGAATCCGATGGATTTTTGAGAATGTCCGCCATATTAGATCAGCCATTTTGAATTTTCAAAATCTGATATCGAATTCGTAATCAGCGACCCCGAAAACCTCTGAGTAACAAGTTTCAAGTGAATCCGATGAATTTTTAAAATGTCGTCCGCCATATTGGATCCGCCATTTTGAATTTTTAAAATCTGAAAACGGATTAGTAATCAGCGACCCCGAAAACCTCCGAGTATAAATTTGTGGACAAATCTATGTGTTTTTGTAGCCAAAAATCTGCTTGCGTCTATACACGTCATCGACAGTTTGAGCCCACCTGCACCATGACGTGTATACACGTCATCGACTGCCAAGGGGTTAAATACAATAGATGGAATATATCAATCAATCCAAGTCAGGTTAATAATAAAAAACACATGTCTTATTTCAACGTTTCGACAATCACAGACGTCCTCTTCAGAAACGAGAAAAAAAGACGTCACGAATAAGTTTAATAATAAGTTAGTTTAATAAGTAATAATAGTTTAATAAGTGATGTCCGACTATAAGTATTAATTGATTAGTGTTTATGACGTCTTTTTTTCGTTTCTGAAGAGGACGGCTGTGACTGTCGAAACGTTAAAATAAGACATGTGTTTTGGTGGTACCAAGAATTGTCTTGGACTGAGTAGATAGACGAGGAAGTGCGAGCAGTGTGGCGAGTCAGGCCAGCTGCGTTTCTTTCTTTAGCAACGCATTTTCACTAGACATCGCAAGCTGCAACGAGGATAGAGACAGATGTATTCAGCTGCGAAAAGAAGAGGCAGCGTGCATTGATGTAATTGCTCAGGAGGTCAGCAAGATGCTTAAGACCTGTGAGATCTAGAAGAATGTTAGCATAACAATTAAGGAGGGACTAAAAAGTCTAAAATCGCTCATTCAGGAGGTGAGAGAAAGGCACGACGAAGCGAAGAGGATGGATGAACGTTTCTATCAAGAATTGGTCTGGTCAGAGGAGGCTCGACAGGACCGTAGACTTAGAAGAGATAGATTTAATGCAATTGCATTAAAAAACGTTGCTATGGTTTCCCAAAAAAGAAGATTAAGCAGTCCTGAAGCGTCGAAGGACCTTAAGAAGAAGAAGAAGAAGAAGGAGATGAAACCTCCTAAATTCTAGCGAAAACCAAGACAGTAGGTACTTACCTAGGTTGCCGCCACGATCAGCTATGGTTGTAAAGGTAGCTAAGGGTGTTAGTTATGCTGATGTCTTAGAAAAGCTTGAAAGAGAAGCTGAACCTGATGCTAGCCAGACAAGAATGGTGGGAGCAATGCCCACAAAGAAAGGTGACCTTCTCTTAAAAATTAAAGGCTCACTAGGAATTGAGAAGTTCGCCGAGGAGGTGACAAGGATTGTGGGTGACTTTGGTAAGGTGCAGATGGCGGATCGAAAGGTTTCACTAGAGATCCGTGACCTGGATAGTCTTACTGACAACGCCGAAGTTCAGGAAGCATTATGCAGATTTTGGGAGCACCATCATTCTGTAGAAAGGTGACGGTCTTTGTGCCCAACAAGCGTGGCTTAAAGCTTGCTGTCGTGGTCACAAGCTTAGAAGAAGCTGCAAGGCTTGAAAAGTTCGGACGCGTAAAGGTAGGCTTTGTGTCGTGTCCAATCAGAAAAAGATGTATGGTCGTCAGGTGCAATAGGTGCCTGGGATACGGGCACATAGGAAGAGGTTGTAAGGCGGTAGCAGATCGGCTGCGTGCTTTAGGTGCGGTGAGGCCGGTCATAAGTCTGCGTCTTGCAAAAGAAGCCCAACCTGCTTCTTATGCAAAGAAAAACACTGCGATAAAGTTAATGTAAACCATGTCGCAGGCAGTGGGGCATGCGGAGTCTTTAGGTCTGCTCTCGAGGAGGTTAAGAAGACTCTCGCTAGGACTAAGAAGAAATAGTACGGAAGAAAAACTGCACGGAAGCCTCGCATAAGCGACATATAGGGACCTTCACTACACGAAGTTCGAAGCCAATAGGTAGTTCCGTGGGTTGAAAAATAGTCCAGATTAAGACGGGAATGGTTTTTAGTGGGTCGACCAAAACCAAAGCGGTCATCCCCACATAACCAAGGATTCTTTACCTAGGTATCTGAATTCGCAGATTTTCTACTTCCGACTACAAAAAAAAATACTTAGAACTCTAATTATAAATCCATTTTTTCAATAGTGGAGGACTGCGTGAAGTTGGCCCTCCATTATGAAAAAACCATTTTTTACCATTTAATCGCCGGAATTATTTTTAAAAACTATCAGGAACTCTAGAACTATTGTAAGTCAGGACTCTAAAAGAAATTCAATTTTTGAAAAAGTGGAAGGTCAATTCACGTACATGTGGATATTGGGTAATATAATCAAGATTATAGAGAAAAAACAATTAGCTTACAAACTATTTTAATTTTTTATTTCATTCATTTAATTTATCTATTATTAATTAATTTTAGAAATAGTATTAAGGACTCAAAATAGGTGAATTGTGTCAAAGGCGAGATTAGGAAAACCAAGGGGACCCGAAGCACCGAGGCAAAGCCGAGGGTGCTTCGGGTCCCCTTGGTTTCCTTATAATCTCGCCGAGACTATCACCTTTTGCGCCCGTGCTGCGAACAACATTTTTTGTCCTGCTGCATGGAAAGTGTTATTAAGCGCACACTCATTTGAATAAATTGTTTCTTTGTTCCATATTGTTAAAAATGACTTGTGATATCATTTTCCAAAAGTTAAGGTCACTGGAAGCACAAACGAGAGAAGAAATATTTTGCGCCCGTTTCTATAATAGCAGCGGGCGGAAATGTATTTTGCGTCCGCTCACTTTACCTCTGGGCGGGAATCACTTACTTTGTGCCCGCCTCATGTGCACGAAATAACCCACTTTCCGTGCAGGCAGGACAAAAAATAATTTTTTATTTTTATTGTTAACAACTGAATTGAATTACATACTTTTTGCATCCATTGTTGTCCTTCTTCTTTCCATTTCTTCGGAGGCAATATTCCATTTAAAATATCGACTGGCTCTTTTTCTATTTCTATTGTAAACTTTTTTTGAATAGCAAAACTTTCATTGACAACATTTGTTAAATCCGGATCTTTATTTTCCAGACGTTGATTTGATAACTATATTTTATGTAGTTATTAGCAATTATTTTCATAATAATAGAACTTATACATATACATAAACTTTCCTTAATCAGACCTAATAAAGAATGAGTCAGATCATGTGCCAGACTGCAAAATAATAACTATTAATAAAATAAATTATTTTGTAATATATAAAAATACTGAAAAAATTTTTGTCTTTTTGACCAATATACAAAGAAGGAAACATTTAACCTACTAACACTGGGTAGGAAGTCGTCTTCCACATAGCAAAAAAAATTTCAGTCAAGCAAAGGTTAACTGTTTGTATAATAATAACGATTGATAATGCTCACGATATATAACATTGTCTTGGGGGTGTTTAGATTTCCTAGTTAAAAAGTGATTCATTTGGTGGTGGAATACTTAGATGTTATATTTATGTTAAAAAGAAAATAAAATAATTCCTTATCTTTATTCGTGTTGTGAGAGACGCCGTGTCTATGTATTTGTTTAAGGACGTCATGTCCTTACTTTACCTTGAAGGGTAAAAACCAAAGGCCCTTGCCTTAAATGTCAATTTTAGTCGAAATTGAAAAGAAAGAAATTCTGTATGAGAATTCTTGTAAAGAAATTTTCTATGAAAAATATTGCCATCTTCCTTATGGTTAATACATTGGAATACGAACACCTTGTTTGTATTTAAAGACAAAAACTGTTACCTCCCAAGAGGTATCTTTGTTTATTTTCAGATTAAACAATGTCAAATTATTGGAAACCTCGTCACTGGACATACAATGAGAGTAATAAATAATCTGCATGGTCGATTCATAAAAGGAAAAAATGAGTAGGGGAAAGTTAACTACCTGAGAGAAAAACAAGAATGGACAGTCTTCTACGAGTCTTCAACTTGACAACAAGTCAAAAAATTGATTGTACATTGTTATAATTATGATTATAATAAATAAAATTTAAATAAAGATATTAAACAGGGGGTACTTTAACCGTCATTCAATTTTTTTGTCAGAATGTAATTTTTTAGTGACAGCTCGTATTATTTTTAGGTTTTTTGTGTTGTGGAAGCAAATTTCATTGAGAGTCTAATGAAACCTCTGTGAATTTTGTTGTTACTACACAAAAAACGTCAAAATAATACAAATTGTTACTAAAAACCACATGTCTGACGTAAAAAATTGAATGATGGTCAAAGTCAAATCAAATAACTATAAGAAGTTTTGTTAGTAGAAGTATGGCGGTTGTATGAAAGGAGATTCGGTATACGATTCTTGGACTGTTCTCGGAAATTAATTCTCATTTTCGAGAACTATTATAAGATTTCCATGACCACGACGATGGTTAGTGTCGTGGGGGTTTTGATTAGAGGAAGGGATATTTTTCGTGAGCGATTAAAGTTGCTTTCCTGGGATACCACGCTCTCTAAATTGGAAATAAACAGCTATAGCGTCATGCTTCTGCGTGCATCGCCGATGGCCATTATCTTTTTATGCTTTTTATCTTTTTAACACATACACATTAGGGTGTTTCTTATTTGGGCGATGTTTCCAAATCTTCGGTCTCACCCCAAAAATGAATCAAGGTATAAAAAAAATTTTCCTAAAAGTTTGAAGCAAATCGAACAATATTAACACGTGCCTCTAGTCGACTGAAATTTAAAATGGAAAATAGATGTAATTTTTCCTAGAAATCACAAAAAAAATTTCTAGCTTATACAGATTTATTTAAAATTTTCTAACTTTGGGTTCTTTTAGAACATGATAACAGGTAAAACTTCCAATTTTTCGAAAAGAAAGTACTTGCTTCATTTACAAGCTTGATGAATATGCCGCTATCACAGTTAATAACTCGGTAAACAGGACTAGTAATTAACTCTTAGATGCACACAATTTTCAGTCATTTAAATTTTAGGAAAAATCAGTTCTAGCATGATGACAGTTAGTCAACAATGAGCAGACGACAACTATGGCTAGGACATAGCAGGGATAGACGGGCTGGTCTATAATCAAGCAGTGCATGAAGGTTCAGTCACACTGAATGGACTTCTGATTAGTATTCAGCGACCCCAAACCCCCCCCCCCCCCGAGTAATGAGTTTCAAGCGAATCTAATAGATTAAAAAAAACATCCGCCAAATTAAGTCCGACATTTTGAATTTTTGAAAACTAATTTTACCCTGATAGGGTTAAATGGACTTCGGATTCAGTGACCCTAAAACATAAAGTACACATAGTGAGACGCCTAGGTCAGAACAAAAAATTTTTTTGTGTGGCTGTGTAATGCATCTGCACTGCAAAGCCTGCCTCACTCAACATCCCATTACAAAAGTACAAAATTAAATTATTTTACGGATAGTATCTTAAATATCAAAAGTTTGTATAGATAATTTATTGACTTCTATAATTTAAAAACAAGAAATAAAACTACACCAATATCAGAATCGACATATCCTAAGTTTATTAATTATTTTATTAATTTTACTTTTGATGTTCTAAGACTCGACAATTGTAATCAGTGTTACGAAATACATAAAAATAAAATTTCTTAACATATGTTATTGAAAGGTGAAAATAATTATATCAACCTATAATAGTTATTATTGTATCAAGGGCGCAAAATAGGTCGAAAGTGTCCCCGTGGTCCCGAAATCTCGCCAAAGTCGTAATCACCTTTGCGCCCATTTTGCGAACATAATTTTTTGTCCTAACTGCATTAAAAGTATGTCATTGAGGGCACGAGCGAAGCGGGCGCAAAAGTACAGCAAGCGGGCTACTTTAGCGGGTACTTACTTTTACGCCCGCTCGGGCTAGATGAAGCGGGCGCAAAAGTACTTTTGCGCCCGCTTGTGTGACGTCAGCGGGCGTAAAAGAACTTTTGCGCCCGCTTCCCTGACCCCGGGCGAGAATCAGTTACTTTGCGCCCACTTTAAGGTCCCGAAATGACATACTTTTCGTGCAGGTAGGACAAAAAGAAAATTTGTGCCTTGAATTCGACTTCGTACAAAATCTTCCGCTTCCAAAACTACCAGTCACAGAACAATTTTAATTAAGATTAATTTAGTTGCACATATTCAATATTTACGTTCACGTAGAAAAAAATAAAGTCAGTCGCAGTTATATGTTTCCATTCATAGAAGGTTTTTTTTAAAAAGGGGGGAACAATTTTTTTAATTTAATTTTACATTCGATGTAAATTATTATAATGATATTTTGTATTTCCTGATTTATGCGGCGGTCAAAATAAAAATTATAATATAATGATATTTTTATCGTTCATATCACAATAATTACAAGTTCCGATTCTTCATTTGTACCCTGTCAGGAGCCACTCATACTCACAATGTGATCGTAAATTTAATATGTATAGACCAAAAAAATGACAGACAATTCTGCTCATGTAGAATTAAAAAAAAAATTAAAACAATCCATTTATCGTGGTAGAGCAAGAAAATTTAAAAATAAAAGATTTTATGTCAGAAATTAAAAATAAGTATAAAGTTACAAAAGAACTTTTAATTTAAAGTTATAGTTAAGGTTATAGTTGAAAAACCAGAAATTCATCAATTTGTGTATAAAAATGGTTGTATATTGGTTATTTTTAAATCAATTTGGTTGATTCAGGGCTTATTGGAAAGCTAAAAGGTCACAATCTTCTACAAGGCTCTCAGATTTGTTACAAAACTAGTTTACCGATATACATTCAAATGTACAAACAAGTTTTGTCTATAGACGTACATACAAAAAGTTTATAAAAGGCATATAAAACAAGTAGTTTTACATCACACATACACTACCGTCCACGAGTACCAGGACGATTACACGCGACTCTATGAATAAACATGCCATCACTTTTTCAATCATATCTCGTAAATAAAAGGAGATACAAAAAAATCTTAAATACGGTTAGAAAGCTGATTAAATTTTGCGTAAAATAAGCCGTCTTTGAAGTAATTTCGTTAACTATTTTTTGAGTTGTAGAGTGAGAGATAAATAACAAAATTATTAAATTTTCTCATTTTTGTCTCTTGACTTCAACTTTTTTAAAATCTCAAAAAATTTAGATAAAACTCGATTCTTGATTCGGGCGGCTGGGAATGAGAAAAAAAAATAAATAAAAAAAATAAATAAATAAATAAAAAAATTAAAAAAAAAATTAAATAAATAAAAAAAAAAAATAAAATAAAAATTGGTAAAAATTTTTGCTAAAAATTGGTACACTTATGTATTTTCACGCGTAGATTGCACGAAAAATATAGCGAACGTAATTGGAGTTAATCTTCATAGAGTTTTCCGCGAAAGACATCAAATTTTGGTTATTTTTTGCAAAAAAAAAATTACCTCCCCTATCGCTCACAGTTTTTTACCTAGAAAGATGAAAATTGGTATGCATATGAACTTTCAAAAATGGATTACAGGAAAAATATAGCGAACATATTTCGACGGTTTAGAGTGCAAACCTGCTAACTCCACTTTTTATTAAATTTGAGATTTTTTTTGTATTTGATAGATAAAGAGGTGATACATCAGCCAAGTAAAACAGTTTGACGAAATTATATCTCTAAATTGCTAAAAAAGTGTTGTGAGAAAACAGCTAACTCCATACCTGTCAAATTGCACTGCTATAACTCCACATAATATATTGTATTGTATTGAATTGTGTCTATATTTTGAGTGTAAGAGATATCAATTAAAATATATTCCAAAAGGAAGTACTTTTTATTATTAAGTAGCATTGTGTTGTTCTGTTATTAAAACAAATATACTGAAAGTTTTGTTCTATAAGAATATAACCTAAAAATTCTTTTGAATAGTTTTTTGACTCTCCTGAAAAATTTCATAAATGTGAGTTAGCAGGTTTGCACTCTAAACCGTCGATTTGGTATTGATCTTCATAGTGTTTTCATCGAAAAACTCGAAAATTTCGAAAAAAAATGCATGTACCCCCCCCCCCTGGCGCCCACAGTTTTTTATCTAAGGAGCTGAAAATTTGCATACTTATTCGTTTTTACGCATAGATTACAGGAAA